GAGGGAGATCGCAGGAGTGACCAGCAGGAGGATTGGGGCGGAGGAGGAGTTGGAGATGGGGAACCTTACCAGGGTGGAGCCAGGATGATGAAGAAAGCTGCCGAACACAGCGGGAGACAGAGGAAGCGACTTGAAACACATTTGAAACTTCGAATCACGGAGGGAAATTGCTGCGCCTACGGGCCTGGGTATTCCGCAAAGTTGTCCACTTGGTATGGAGGGCAAAGCGGGTAAAACAGCGTGCAGGCCCAGGCCCCAACGCCGCGGTCCAGATTGCAAATTTGCTCACGGGCCTGACAGGGGCAAAACACAAAGATTTAGGCCCCAAAAGGCATTTCGCTCTACCCACATCTTTTAGGGGCATTTTGGCATATAACTCAAGTTATAGGGGTATTTTGCAAATTATCCCTTTTTTTTAATGGTAAAGAATTTCGATGGGACCCTGTAGGGCCCCCAGGTGCGAGGTCCCCCTACCGTCTTCATAGGAATAGAACGACCGGTCATTATCGCTGTATCGAGACTGAAAGTTGGCCCATATACGGCTATAATGACCGGGCGTTCTATTCAGGTGAAGACGGTAGCCAAGAGGATTGGATTTAACGCACGAATCTGGACGGGGTTCGCGGGGAGATGCAGAAATTCGCGATTTAGGTTGTTTTCTGCATGAATCTCTACTTACAAGACACCCAGAATCAGGGGCTCAATCCAATCCTCTTTGCTACCGAACAAGGAGGATTGGACTTAACAGCCGACTCTGGACAGGATTCGCGGGGAGATGCAGAAAATCGCGATTTACGTGCTTTTCTGCATGCATCTCTACTTAAAACACACCCAGATTCAGGCGCCCAATCCAATCCTCTTTGCTATCTACCGGTAGTGGGGTAGTGGGGACCGACCGGTAGTGAGGTAGTGGGGACCGCAGACCGTCCGAGTGCAGAGGCGTAGCAACTTGTCTTTTTTTTTTTTTTTTTTTTTTTTTTTTTTTTTTAACACATGTCATATTACTTATTGCAAAGGAGAGGCCGGGGACCTCACAATTCAACCCGGAGTTATCCCGGCAGCATCAGCCGGTTTAGCTTATACGAACTGCTTGTCTCAGGTAGGTGGTGAGAGAGGTAGGAGAGGGAGTCAGGTAAGGGCTATCCTAAGGATGGACTGGGTGGTGGATTGGGAAAGGGTGTTCGGGTCTAGCCTATACCTGTAGCTGCTAATCCTAAGGTTGGTGTAGGGCATTAGAAGTCTGATGGGTTTGGGAAGAGCCGGGGTTGTTCAACTCATGGGCGAATACCCAGTCCTAAGTCGGTCTGGATCGAGCCTACAGACGGCTCGTGGACCTGATCCATCAGGTCTGTCTATTCCTGGACACTCTATGGCCATGGCCCACCGCGGCCCGCAAATAACCGAGTGCGCCTGGTTGGGTGGCAGGAGAGAACTCTGGACTATCCTACCAATACATCTAATCTCAAAAGTCATGCGGGGGGGGAGGGGAAGTGAAATGGGGAAAGAGTAGGAGGGAATACATCAGCAAAAAGCTAATCTTAAACTATGTAGTCCTCTCATGCTTCCCACCAAGGGGAGATGACCATCTTGCCCTCCAATGTTACCGCCGCCAACTGATTGTCTCTTGCCCAGGTCACCAAAAACCACCTCCTACCTCTTGGGGATGTACCCCTGGCTGCTCTTCGTGCCCAGTCCACAACTATCAGGAGTCGAATGAGCGCCTTAATCTTCCTCTGCACCGCTATGTCTGAGGACCATTGCTGTTCAAAGAGAATACTGTTCCTGTCCGTCCAGATGACCCAAAGTATCACAGAGCGAATTGCTTGCGCCACATAGCCTCTGCCTGTTCTTTTGAACCAGTGTGCTGGAATCTGTCCTCCTATTGCCCACGCCTCGCTCCACTGGAGTGCGTCTCCCACAAAGTGACTCCAGTGGTGGTTCCACCATCTCCAGATACGGCCGGAGGCAGGGCAAGACCAAATGAGATGCTGGAGAGTTTCCTCTTCCCTACCACCACATCTCAGGCACTTAGTAGGTAAGTCCATGCCCCTTTCAAAGAGCCAAACAGCGCAAGGTACTATCGTGTGGGTAAGAAGCCACAGAAAGGAGGCAAATTTCAATGAGGGCAACATATGTAGTTGTGCCCAG